TGGCCATCGGGGGCTCGGCCTTATTACCACGGTGCGGCCCAGATGACGGACCGGCGGCGGTGCACCCAGCGTGGCCATCGGGGGCTCGGCCTTATTACCACGGTGCGGCCCAGATGACGGACCGGCGGCGGTGCACCCAGCGTGGCCATCGGGGGCCCGGCGTCATTACCGCGGTGCGGCTGAGGTTTAGGGACGAGGCTCCCCATCTCAGCGAAGGGGAAGCACGGTTCCCAAAGACCCTGCACTCACCATAACCACAGCAGAGGTTCAATCAAGTTTAATTTACTCAATATAACTAAGCCATGTGTTAAGTCTGTGGAGTCAAAGGAGATCTTCTCTCACTGAACTGCAGACCCGTCAGGTACAGCGAGCCGGATTTGGACTGGAATTGATCAGTGCATTCCGGAATGGCTCCAACCCTGCTGGACAGTCAATGCTAATTCATTCCCCATAAATGCTCACCAAAGGCTCAGGACACAGAGAGCAAAGCAGGTCAGGATGCCAGTCCATCACAAGCCAGACACGCTCACAAGTACACATTAAGGAAAACTGTTAATCTAAAAGACACCTTTGGACCATGGTAGGAGACCTTGGAACCACCCATGTGTCCCATATCACCCATGTGTCCCAAATCAACTAAAAATTAACTTGAGAAATGGGGGGGCAACAGTGAACATCACCAATATGAAAACAGATGTTGCTGAGTGTGAAACAGGACTTAGCTACATTCAACACACACTTACCTATAGGGGCTTACAAACATGTGAGCGCATTTGAGCAATACAAACCTCACAGATAGAATGACTCCCATTACTGACAACTGCTGAAAAGCAAATGAAGACGAGGCGAAACAGCAGCATTCTTTGAACCTGTGAAGGTGTCGAATGCTCTGGTCAGTCCGTTTTTTAGGAACTCTCCCATCTTTCTTGCAAAATGCAGTTGGACATCTTGAACACAGTTGGGTACAGACAAATGATCCAATTAGATACCAGCTGTAGAACACATCTAATGCCCAAACTTCCTCTAGCAGATACAAGACAGAAAGACTGAGCTAGTATCGCACGACTTCCCCGTCTCAAGCAGAACAAACAAACCACTGTTACCTGATTGTAAAGGTTCCTCTGTATCTGAGAAGCTGTTTCTTCAAACCACCACAGAGGATACTGTTAGCTCTCCTCATGCGCTACTGCAAAAATGAGCCATTTCTAATTTATGTAGCTAACTAATTAAAGCACCATCTGCACTATTTACATTTCTTTTGCTGACAGCTCATTCCAAAAAAAATAAATGAATCCAAATCTGGCACAAATTCACCAACTCTGCAGTTTGTAAGAACCATCTCAGGTCTCCCACTTAAGAGCCTGGTGGACCTCCTCTCTTTTCAAGTAGGGGGCGCTCTCCTTTCCGTCAAGCGGTTATGGAGGGAGGCTCCAAGCGCCAAGCGGTTATACAGGGAGTCCTTACAGTGTCTGTGCTAAACGTTCTGCAGCAGGTCAGCACACGTGTGAAAGGTCAGGCAGCCCAGGAAGGAAGTGAGCAGGTGGTACCCAATTTCAGGGAGGTGCATCAGGAGGGTTACTATAAATATATCTAAAAAAAAACAATTACTATTTCTGGTGGGGACATTCAGATAAATAACTTTCACATAACTAACTAAACTGCTTTGCTATTTCTATAAGCACAACTTCAGAAACCAGTAAAAGGTGAAGCCAGGCCCCCCCCCTGGACTCCCAGAGACAGCAGTCTGCGTCATCCTAACGGATCAGTCACATTAAAGACAGAGCATGTTCCCCAGCTCCGTCAATTAAGCAGGATTAACGAGGCGCAGGACTGTGATAAAGGCATTGAGAGATCGGCTGCAGGATCATGAATTATCTAGTCTATATCGGATACTGATATCTCAGTCTTACTAGTAAAAGCTAGTAGCTTATTACAGATTTCGCAGAGATGCACAGAAGAATCTTTCTTTTTAATTAAGCCGTTTAGTACAGTACATTTATATAAAATGTCAAGGTAATGGGTAGAATTCCTACTTTTACTGTCAGCCTGAAGAAGCAAGTTTCCGTTTGAGAGTCCAACCTACCTGTCATATAAGGAAGCAGCTTAACCACAAACAAACAGAACAGAAACACACAATAAACGCTGAGTGGGGGGGGGGGGCAATAGCACCAAAACAGCCATGCAACAAACGCACACCGATCATTTTTTAATGACATTCTAATCGCAGAGAGGACCCTGTCACCGGGAGAGCTCACAGACCAGGTCGCCGCCTCATCTGCACGACATACGACTCATACCACCTGCGCATACAAGGGAGAGGAAAGAGGGGGGAAAGAAAATGAGCCCCACCCTAAAAGGCACAAAAAATAAACGTCAAAAATAAAGGATTTTGTTTTCCTACAATTATAGTTTAGGAACTGCAGAAACCCGCAGGTCATGTGTGCAAAACAACGATTTCCCTTTACAGACTTATAAAAAACGTGCTTGGGAGATCGATTTGGCATGAATGTAACTCCAGAAAGACAATTCATTAGCAATGCTGGCATTTCCTCCGTGCGAGCGCACGGCGAGCGCGCGACTCGGGCACAAACAAAAGAACGCAGCTTCGCACCCCACGTATGGAAAAGCCCCCCCACCCCCCAAACGAATACATATCCCCTGAATCCGTGTCTCCGTCAACTTCGCATCTCTATGAATATCGCCAGGAAAGCTAAACAGATTCCCCTGCCACCGGCCGGTTTCCAAGAAGACAAACAGCCATATGCTGTCATGGTGTTAACACCTTGGAAATAATATTATATCCGAATGAATGCATTATGACCCGAGGCTTAGGGAATATGCGGCGTGGGGTTGGAGAAAATGCGATAGAATGATCCACACGTCGCACGGGCGCCAGCTGCATGGGTAAACAGCCCCGTCCTTAAATACATTTTGTCCTCAAGGAAAAAAAATCTTGACAACCCTCAAGTGCCGGCGCAGTTTAAACTTAGCATTTTTTTTGATATACAAAAAGGTAAAAGAAACACTTTTCAGGTCGCTAAGAGAAAGGTGGCAAAAAAATGTTTAAATACGGAGCGACGATTTTATGGTGAAAAGTGTAAAGAAAGGTTTTTTGAGACAGTTTCTACCATGGTGTTTTATTACTGCTGCTGCAGCAACAGGCACCAATTCTACAATGACAGCACACAATCCTGCCAAGGAAACAGGCATCCAGCACTTAGCCATTATCCACTTCATTAAATTATATAGTCAGACACTTCTCTGCGGCAGTTCTGTTTTAAGACCCTCATCAGCGGCACAGGAGAGCCAACCCCCCCATTTGCAGGGGATTGCTGCGATTACGTGACACAGCATCTCCTACCATCGAGGTGTGGGCTCATCTTGTCCCATCACCTGCAGGCCAGCGACCCCGAGATCAGCAGTCCTGGAGAGCAGGTATTTCACCAATGACTACTCCGCCAAAAACGGGAAAATCCCACACGCCTCAGGGGGTTGTGCAGTCTGTCACAGGCAGCATAGGCCACAACACAGGGAACCAGTCCAGATCAGATGCCAACCCTTTGCACAGCGAAGTAGATGCTAGAATAGGGCTTCTTACCCTGGTGTCCGTGGACCCCCAAGGGGTTTGTCAGTGAGTCTTGGGGGGGGGGGAGGTACATGATGGTCAGATTAAAAATGAACAATTATCTTCACTGTATTCTATATAAACTTGTTTCACTGGATGTCTAATATGACATGCATGTTAGCTTGTCAAAGACAACGCAACAGTTTCATTTTAATTATTCAAGCCAAACAATATATTCATTTCAGTGAGAAGGTTGAGTAAAATTTGCATTTAGTTTAAATTGCATGAGATTATTGCATTTAATTTTTGCACGGATTGGCCATTAATTTTTCAAGAAAAAGAGTGAAAAACATGTTTATTTATTCATGCTTTGTGCATGTCATGCACCGTAGGAGCGTGAGAGGCTCAATAAGACAGATTCATTGTATGCAAAATTGAGTTTATGTGCAAATAAACTCAGGAGGGGGTCCATAGCTTTCACCAGATTCAAAAAGAGGTCCATGGAAAAGGTTAAGAACCACTGCACTAGAGCATAGAATGGATAGGTTCACTGCAGCACAAAAAAAAACAAAAAAAACTGCATCCACTAGGGGGCACTGGTTTCCCTTGCTGGACATTGTGAGGCATATTAGTCAAGGTGTTGCTACTGGGCTATTTTCGTTGTTTCCTTGGCTGGACTTCCTCCGTTTGTTTTGAGATTTCTTTGCTGTTTTGGGGATTTATACAAACATTTTTCCCCCAAAATACTGATCGAGGACTTGAGTTTGGGTACTTCAGCCACACGGGTGAGTACTTGGGCTGCCAAAGCTCATTCTCTACGGTCCAGACGTTCCACGGTAGCTTCACAGGGACCCTGTTGGGCACTTAGTACTTTTAAACTAGCGACACCGTGAACAGAAGTTCGTAAAAATGACCCTAATTGCATTTCCTTGGACCACTGGAGGAAACCTGACAAAATCCACACAATACATCTAGAACATGCAAAAAGCACGATGAGTAGGGGGGGGGGATTCAAGCACACACACTGGAGGGGGCGGTAGGCAATGGGGACATCTCAAAATCATAACCTACATCTGCATGCTTTTAAAATATTGCAGTTCTCATACAGTACACAGTAAGAAAACTACCATAACTTAATGAGCATTACTTTAATAATGCACATACATTACTACCAAAAGAACATTAGTCAGATCAAAGTGGACACCCTGACCGCAGCTTAACTGGGACCAGTAAGAGGATTCCCAAAAGGAGCGTCATCAAACAGGTACGTCAATCTGAAAAGCAAGGCTGGCCTGCGTGACAGACTTCAGCTCCGCCGTGAATCCTCCACAGGTCTGCCTGGACAGTGGCCGTTACGCTGTCACCCATACCATGGTACCTTCTTCAGTACTGCCAGTTTGAGTAATGCCAATTCCACATGGGTGCAATGACGCTTTAACATAGCAGTTATAACCAAGAGCAGCGGCCAAGCAAAGGTTGTGTGTGGGAGACTTAAGCTGCATCCTGCATCAATCCTCCACGTCGCTCTACTCCATCGCAGCTCCATGGGAACAGCTGTGCTCTCTAAAGCCGCTGTATCATTTCCCAATACTGCACACATCACCTCACATCACCTCACATCACCTCACATCACCTCACATCACCTCACAGCTTTTCCCCTTGCCCACACCCACTATTACTTCCTTATTAGGAGTTGCTTATCTTTTTAATCAAAGAATCTTCACTGCTACCCAAGACTGCAGCCATATTTTCACTGGGGTCACTCTGGATTAAGTAACTTGCCCTGATGACTGTTTTGCCATCCACCAGGAAGCGTATGCTGTGTGTTGGTATCAGCATACAATCAGAGATTAGACGCTGTATCAGTTACACATTCATAATCTCTCACCACCAGTTAAACAGCTACCTGCACGCTAGAGGTTGGTTTTGTTGAGCTGAATTTGATGACCCTTGTGAAGAACAACACAGGAGTAGGTTCTGAAACTGCCATTTTATTTTTTTTTTGATACACAAAAGGAATGTTGATTTTGGGTCTTAAGTATTCTAAAAAAACCCAAGCCATTTAATAATAAAAAGAATTATAGGACCATGAGCAGACTGGCAAAACGGTTTCTTCCATCACCATAATATTTCAGATGGTACCAAATATTCCATCTATCAAGAAACGGTTTTGTCCATCAGTTCGCTTCATGAATTCTGCCCTTGGCTGTGATTGATTTTTCTAAAATAAACAGCTTTACGAGTTATGAGCGAAGAGATGAAGATACTCAGCTTATCCCGCCTGCGTGTGCTTTGCCTTCCGGAGCGGCTGCCACATGCTCTTCGGGAAAGTGCCCAACGCCCTCGAGAGCCACAGCTTACTGAACTTGAACACCACACGATAGACTTCCTGCCTTGACACATTTCAGGTTTGTGGGGAGAGGCCTCCATAAAACCAAGGCAGAAGAGACAGGACAAGTATGGGCTGAACAGCCATTTACCAACAAAAGCAGAACTAAAATAGCAAGGTTGTAGCCTTGCAGACCTACCAAAACAGAGAAAACTGCAGTAAGTACATTTAAGTAAAGTCTGACGCTACACAAAATCACATATGAACCAAAAGAACTGTATAGAAGCAAGACCTGGGACTCCCTTCCTTAGTCATCTATCCTGAGGACTCGAAATAGGGCGTCCTCCATCTTCCAAGACTCCCAAAACTCTTCATGACAGCAGCTGGAGTTTCCATTAACCAGTCTGGGCTTGTTATCCCAACTGAACTGCATTAATTAGCGCGTTCCTGCAGCAGGAGGCTGGTGACAGTAAAAGGCCACGGCCACTCCCCCCCCCTCAGGGGCTCACAATACAGAAAAGTCTGCTATAAAACCTACCCATCCATACATCGCATTATGGGGGGGCTTGGAGCTTATCCCAGGTAACACAGGGCCGCCATCAAGCCCGAGTGAGATGATATTAAAACAAAAAGGTGCAGATTTTAAAATGGCTAAAAATTCCACAACAACTGCCAGGATTTTATCCAACGCAAATGCAAGTTAGCCAAGTAATAATTCAGAAATTACTGCCACAAACTGGAGGACTAAACAACTGACTTCACCCCCCATGAGGGACCGTTCTCCCTACTGCTCTCTTACATGACAAACCAGGAGGCTGATGGGTTTGGCTCTGCTCCAGAGCGAGAGACGTCCGAATCCGCCAAGAGAGATCAGAGCCTTCAGATGGCGGTTCAGGTCTCACCATCCATGATCGAGTCAATTCTGCCGTAACCGAGCAAACGAAAGCTTTACAAAGGAATATTTTGCACAGTATGTATAATTTTTCCATCTTCCAAGCAGAGATTTTAAGTTAAAATTTAAGTAAGGAAAGCTAATAGCTTTACACTGTAGATATTCGTCCAGTGATACCTAGTCAGTCCAAACTGACATACTTCATGTTCACACAGTCTATAGCCTTTAATATTCAATACTTCCATAATTAGCATTATACATTGCAAGAAAAAATGCTTCTTGGCTAAAGTAAGCCTAGCTTTAGCTAATTCACATTAATGTAGGCAAAGCTTTGCACACAATTTGTGTTTCAGCTTCTTTTTCGGGTGTACAGACAGAGAAATGAGAAGAATGAGGCCTAAACTGCTCAATGAATTTACCCAGGCAACGGCTGACATTCCAATCAATTTTGTTAGAGAGAATCATCATCTGGACGACAAAGCAAACACACTTACGTCGGTGGTGTATTGCACTTCATCCACCCCATACTTCTGCTTGAAGTGCTCTGGAGGATGGATCCTGTCAACAACACAGACGAAAGGCTCTTCAGCACCTCCTTAAGGTCAGTCACGTTAATCAGTCCCAGCTCTGAAAAGGCCGGCAGCCTGAATGCAGCTTGTCTGGATTTAAAACTCAGGGATAAAGGTCACTCCTTATGCAGAAATGGGATAGAAAGCACACATTCACATCGATTCCTTTTGAATGACCATAGATACAATCTTGTTATTTCTGTACTCCTCCATTTTCCATCCAATTTCCATCCCCGCTTGTCCTACTCAGGGTCACAGGGGTCCCGGAGAATATTCCAGAAGCTATTGGCACAAGGCAGGGAATCACCCAGGATGTGGCTCCAGCCCACTGCAGGTCACAAGCACCTTTCACACCTACAGACAGTCTGGCAGCTCCAATTCACCGTAGCACTTTTTAGGGACTGTGGGGGGAAGCCGGGCATCCCAGAGAAAAAGCCCACGACGACCAGCGAAGATCATTTGTTCGTTTAAAAAGTAACAAGTAAAAATACTGATTAAAAATAAAATTCCATCAAAAAAAAACCCAGTGATAAACTGTTGTTTCATTTTACATTATTTTATTCCCCAAACCACACACACTGTACCAGGGATGTAAATGTTACACAAAATTCACGGTTCGGTACAAACTTCAGTTTTGTGTTCATGGTTCGATGCAATTTTGGTACAGTAGGGAAAACAGAATTTGTTTTGAAATAATTAGGAAGAGTTGTAAACCAACGGCAAGGCATCTGTCAATGTGTCTGAATAAGTAACGCTTATTTGCACAGTCAAAATACGCAAATGTGAATATGTATATATGCGCACGCACGCACACACGCACGCACACAATAAAAACATCATAATAAAGTAAATTCTCCATTCTCTGCTACAGAGTATTGCCACATATCTGCAGTGACACATACTGCCATAGCTGTGATTAGGCTCCTTCTTGGTGTAAAAGGCTATAACTTGCAGAGGCTGTTACAGCCCTGCTCTGTATAGTTAGAGTTTTATAGGAATGTTCAAAGGGACCAAAAAGCTACACAGCTAAACTGACTTTTTTTTTTGACAAAACAGGAAACAAACAAACAATACACGTACAATCCACTAAACAGCTGTGGGGGAGGGGGAGCGAATGGCAAGATGCCATGTCCGGTGCTGGCAAATTTAGTGGCCAAAGAGGTAATTTTACATTTTTCTTGAAGGTGATCGATCGACGGGCAAATGATGATGATTAAAAAACAATTAGTTGCGGGCCGATACTTTGACACTCCTGGGCTGGACCCTTTGCCAGCAGGGCTCTGAGCTCAGCTCGGCGTGCGTGCATGCATGCATGCGTGCTCATGTGGGGACAGAGGAGCTACCTGAGCACTCCGTCACATGAGTGTGTATGTGTAGACATTTTATTTTTACAAAAAACACAGCAAATGTAAAAGAATGAATTCTTGTGTACTAGGCACAAGAGCCTCTGTGATTGAAATAATTTAAAGATTTAGATTTTCACCATACAGTATGACTAACCTATTTATAAAAATTCCACTAAAACCTCCCTCTTATATTTGATGTTTTAACTAAAAAACCCTATCATCAACTATAATTTGGCACATTGTTTTACAAAATCAAATTCAGATCCTATCAAAAACTCAGGCCAAACCATCACTTGGGGACTCAAGTCTGAATTACATCCCGAAATCAGCAAATATTGCTGAGATATGCAGCACTGTCCACTGCTGAGCCTGAATGGAGACCAAAGATGCATTTGAAAGTCTCACCCTTCGGGAAACATACAAGGTACATTTCCTCCTATTCCAAATTAAGAGGCATGAGTCAAAAACCAGGCAAGTCATGTCACTACATGGAAGTGTTCAAAAGGACATACTTTCCCATCCAGGTGGCATAGCTCTCCGGCAGCTTAGGGACAAAGAGAATGGACCTCCCTGTGTCGACATCAATAGCCCCGTAGCAGTCAGCTTCAGTCACTCCAAAAGCCCAATGGAAGAAGGACTCCTGGAGTCACAGGTAAAACATACATACAGGAAATGCAAAGACAGAACTGCACACAGAAGCTTCACGTAAACCATTGCGTACTGCAACGTTAAAGGAAGGGAGCGGGTGCCTATTTATACAGCTGGGTGCTACCTGAAGGACGTTATGTTGAGTCCCAGGATCAAGGTCATTGGAATTGGAATGTGCAGCATTATTTTTAGCATTTCTTACCAGATGCCCCAAAAAAGCCAGTCAGAATATCTATTAATAGCAGAGTATGACACTGAGAGACGGATTAAAGGTGGAAATAAGTGACTAGAGCACGACGGCCGTACCTGTCTGAAGAGGATGTCCGAGTCAGTGCAGTGCCTCTGGGTCTGCTCTCCCCCCTGCAGGACCACCACAGACTTGGGGAGCAGGCCCTCCTTGGCTTTCAGGCCCTGGCAGAGACGCCGCCGGTTCTCGGCAAACAGAGCCGCCGACACCCTCAGCGTCTTCTTCCCCAGCCAGAACACGGGTCTGCAGAGAGAGGGAGGACAGCCGTCTGAGCACGGTGACGTCGGCTGTGAATACGAGCAAATTACATGATAGGCGACCAGACCGGGGAGCCCAGTCACCTCAGAGCGACACTGGTCACATTTCTCAAGGTTTATATAATATGATTTAATAGAAAATAGCAAATGAGAATCACTAACTGAATTGGCCCGGACCTTAAAAAATCCACCCTTTTCCTATTTGTCCTCCCACATATTTAGGGCTGAGCAGTACATCAGTATCTTTTCAAATGAGACAGTATATGCAATTTTTTTTTTTATTATATTAAAATCAACATGTCATGCTGCATTACTGTTTCTCCTATTGCGTTAAGGGGTATTTTGATACCCAAATGGGTTTGAGCGAACAGTATGAGCAAATATTTAAAAATATTTTTATAGCCTTTTACCAGTTTTAAATGTAGATTATTATTTTTTTTTTAATTCCTAATTATTCATCTTTTGTTCTGAGAGTAACGTTATAAACTGCTGAGGCATGTACTGCAGTGAGACACCTTTAAGACGGAACTGCTTTCTTTGAGCCATGCAACACTAGTACAATTCCTTGGTGAGACCTCACCGAGAATACTGTGTGCAGGTTTGGTCACCATATCTTAAAAAGGACATTGCGGCCTTAGAAAAGGTGCAGCGTAGGGCCACAAGAATGATTCCTGGTCTTAGAGGAATGTCATACGAGGAAAGGTTAGTTGAGCTAAATCTGTTCAGCCTCAAGCAAAGGAGACTGAGGGGGGACATGATCCAGGTCTATAAGATTCTAACAGGTTTGGATGCTGTTCAACCGAATAGTTACTTCAGCATTAGTTCAAATACAAGAACTCGTGGCCATAGGTGGAAATTAGCGGGAGAACATTTCAAACTGGATTTAAGGAAGCACTTCTTTACACAGTGTGTAGTCAGAGTATGGAATAGTCTTCCTGATAACGTAGTGCAAGCTGAATCCTTGGGTTCCTTTAAAATCAGAGCTAGATAAGATTTTAACAACTCTGAGCTATTAGTTAAGTTCTCCCCAAGCGAGCTCGATGGGCCGAATGGCCTCCTCTCGTTTGTATAGTTCTTATGTTCTTGTATAGGCATTTTTTTATGTCTTTATTTTATTTGTTATAACTAAAGAGAAAAATTAAAAGTAATTACATGCAAAACTAATAAGAATTATTACACCTGAAGAATTACTTTAAATATTTAGCATTACAGAAACTACTGGAAAGTCTGAGAAAAGTGGCAATTTGCTTGACTAGTGTAACTGTTAGAACTGACAAAAAAGCTAATGGAAATGACATCCAGTCAAAAAAGACCTTTAACAGCCAATAAATCAGAAAAGGCCACTTTTCTTATTTTAAAGTGGTTTCTATAAAATGTCAGCTTAAAAACTATAAGTTATAAGCGAGCCATCAGCTCTGCCTGATAAGTAATAAGCCAAAGTTTAAAGATATTTCTCCCCTGAATTCTTTCAAAGTGCAAGTAAAACTAACAAATCAGCTTTCACGCTGCAATGTTTTTTTTTCTTTCTTCAATAAAGTTCAAAGTTTGGGTGAACACACCCAAAAAAGTAGCCGAGAATCTCAATTATGGTTTGACCACGTAACACAACTAGCAAAATCACTGATGACATTTGACAAAGCACATGAAAAAAAACTGCAGCTCAGCATTAAATGTTTTATTGTGAAAGATAACCTGCATTTATTATGGCTATGAAGCACTTTATCGACAGTTACATATGACCACCCACATTTATGTGATCAAAGATCACATATTCATAAATTATACCCAAAAGTAACTCATTGTTTAAAAAACACACACACACACACAAAATGCAAAGCTCAAAAATAATGCACCGTTGTCATAAGTTAATGGATAATAACGAAAAAAAATCATTAACTGTACAAGCTTGCTACAGTGTGTGCATCACTAACTTAAAACCCAAGTTATCCCAGAACTTTGTGCAAGTCAGAACTTTCATTAGCTTTTGTTCGCCATTAAATGCAGTGCTGTTATTTGCATGGTAAATTGATTTAAATATATTTTTTTAATTATAAACAAAAGCACAAGTAGCACAGAAAGAACACTGGGTAAATGAAATCATATTTATTTATAGCACGGAAATCTAGTCTTTATTAACATTCAGCAACATTTCCAAAATACATTCGTCAGTAACTCTGTAAATAGAGTACCACTGTATTTTTTATGTGAAAATAGATATACAAGCTGTTCAAACAACTCAGACCTTTAGATATAACGCAAAGCGATCTGATAATCTAATAAAAGGTCATTTGTTTACGTTTATAAAATCAAAAGCATTGATTTTGCGTCTCTTAAGCTACTTAAGCCAGGGTGGGAAATGTTTGCATAAAGTCATTAATGTCCGTAAAATATGCGACACACAACACGTAAATATTAAAGTAAAATACAAGTTAAAACTTACTCCGGGCGTGTAGACATGCTGCTCACGAGATACTCTTGAGTCACGTGACCCGAGGTTGCTCGGTCAGCTGATTTTTAGGGCTTTTCCTGACTTCCGGGGCGAAGTCGTAGCGGTTGCAGCAGCCAATAGGGACGCGCGTAACATTCGCTCGTCGCGGATTAACCTCTACGTTACCTGCTCGTCTGTTTTTAAAATAATTTATTCTAATTTAAACTAATTTCATTACCCGACTAACGTTTTTACTAGACAGAAATGTTTTGGAACCTAAAGATTGCCTGAAATGTCCGATATTTCGCTTTGTTTCATGTTGACATTTAGTTCTTTGTACGTGCATATTTACGATTCTTTGACTCCCCTCCTGTGTCCGCTTTATTGAAAACCAAAATATGGTTACCCTACCAGATATTATTGCTGTTAGCAACCATTTGAAAAATATTTGCCCATCTTTCATCTCACGTCACAATCTTGACTGTTACACCACTCATAGTAGCCTTAATTATAGCAATCCTTATGTCAAACGCCGGGTCGCGAGTTTCCGTATTCATTCTAAAAGAACAGAGTTTCAGTTTCACGATTTTAATCAAAAGTGCAAAAATTCAGTTTTGGATCAAGGTGGTTGTACGCGTGATCTGGCGCGTGGAATGGTTATTGTTGCATCTATCCTAAACCTTTTTGTGTTGGATGAAAGGGGGTGGAAAATAAGCGTTTCAATCTAATCTCAGAGTTATTGCAGATTATTGAGTGAAGAGGAAAAAAGTGCCTTTTATTAAAATGTCTGTTGTTCTTTTGTATTATTAGATTGTAGCTGTGTATAATCCATACTTGTCAGAGATGTGCAAACTGCCTTTTAATGACTCTATATGGAGCAATAACGCGCTATTTAAGAACTATATGAGAGTCATGGAGAATGAACTCCTTAAAGTGGAATGTTTTCGATGTCAGTGTTTTTTTTTTTTAATTTCTTTTTGGTTTCAGTTCGATATACAGTTTCACTTTGGTTAGCACTTTGTAAGTTCTGCATTTTTTTCTGCATAATTTTGTATTTTTAAGAGAAAAGTGCATATGCTTGTGGACGTGTTTAAGGAAGTGTGCTTGTGACTGAATGGTCATAAGTTCACATGACCTCAAGGTTCTTCACCTCAATTGTATGAGTGTACACGTACTTGAAACTAGTTGATTCTGAACTCTATCATTCAGACATGCAGTAACATTTGCATTTGTTTATCTGGCAGGTGCATTTGTCTAAAGTGGCATACAGGTAAGAAAATATGTAACAAGCAAACATCTGTCAAGGAGCCAACTTAGCTGCTAGGATACATTTCCATTGACTGGCCAGAAACAAGTCCAGGGTAGCTGTGTGTAAAAGGCTTTGCCTCAGAAATGCTGTATACTTGTCGTTAGGTATGCAAACTCAGATGCAGCATACAATCAATACACAAATATCACCCCCCCCTCCCGGTGAACCTAGTAAGAAAATAAAGTATGGGGTGAGGCTAGTTCATGGGACTTATGTTGAGGTGTCCCACAATAGATTGAGTCTTAAGCAATTTATTGAAGGTCTTGAGGGAATCAACAGACCAGATGAAGTCTGGACAGGTCAGAGTGGAAATGCATGTGATTAAACCCAGATCTCATACATGCAAAGCACGTGTGCTGCCATTGAAGTACATCCCGGTGATTGCTGAATGAATAAGTACAGCTTTACTTCATTATTTGAAACATGCCAGTTACAAGGATGTAGTTTGAAGGAGACCCATATGTGATGTCAGTTATTCAGCGGACATCGTTGTTTATGTCAGGAGGTCATGTGATGTGACAGGCTTTGTGCTACAGGCTGCACTTTCAGCAGCACAAATCAGCTAGACTGGCTATTTATGTACGATGCAGAGCATTCAAAGCCTGCCCCTTTGGCCATCCATTGTAAGATTTCTCTTGGGATGTGGACATTCGTATAGCACTGATATAATGCAATGCAAAAATGCAAGGGTATGTTTACTGTAGCCCTGGTGTACACAAACATCTAATAGGAGAAATCTGGAATGAATGACCTATTTCTTTATTTTCAGAAGAAATTATACAAAAGTATTAACTTCAGTCACATTTCAAAAAGGATTTCACAGCAGTCCCAGCGTTATATAATCACCTTCCGATTCAGTGTTGAATAACACTAGATAAAAAAACTGCAGTATGCTTGAGGCTTGGGACTTCATCTGATTTCATGTGAATTCATTAAATGCATTTGAATAAATTAAAAAGAAAAGTAATTTTGAAAAGCTAATTAAACAGGGTGTAAGGAAGAATGAATATTAACAAGTCCCCCCAAAAAGTCTCTAACTTTAAATAACTCAAATATGTAAAAACAGTTAGCCTATACACCATATTGTGTTTTAATCCAAAACAGTGTATTATTTTCTTTATTTTCATATGTAACAGAGCTCATTGAGCATACAATGATTACATCACAAAGATGATGTCACCCTTTGGGGTTATGGCGAGATTTTCATTGGTTCTCTGAATATTTGTAGAATAGTCTTTCAACCTATGCCAGTTGTAGTGACTTTTTTTTTTAACACCTCTCCTGCTATGGTGGGCTTGCTATTGGCATATCAGGATGCTTCCCTATTTGCTAATATCAGTTGATTCTTTGGAGGCGGAATCTGGCAGAGCTGGAGCCCACAAAGACAATGAGGTCACTCCTTGGAGTTCTGGTTAGTCTCTGTTGGTTGGTTAGCACTGTGATGTGAAACACTTTTTCATGGAGAGTCAAGTATCTGCAGTTGGGTTACCTTTAGGGTAAACTTTCTCATATGAACTGATTTTTTCCTGGTCCCAGTACCCAACTTAACATCTATTACTTCTAACAACAGCTGATATAGAGCAAAGCCCTATAGCTTGATGGACCAGGGCTCCCACCACTGCTTTTACAAACTAATCCCCTTACATGGCAGGTTACGGCTATGGAGGCCTGACTCCTAGTCCCTGCTACAGTTGTCGCAAAGATAACATATTGAGCAACAGGTGCAACATGATGTTAACTAAATAAAAATTGATTTGAAGTTTCTCACTACAGGGCACAATGGAGCTTCAAAAGACCAAGAAAGACCAGCTTCAGAAGAAAATAAAATGTGTTTTCAAGCTCGGTGATGCTGGCACCCAGTGCTTTTACAGCACCTCCTCACTGACATCGCCGTAGCTCAGCACAGCAGACTGCACAAGGAGATAATCGGATTAGTCCTCTAACCTTTATAGGCGACAGGAAGGGATAGTCCGATAGATGCGCATTACCTCATTCAGAACAATAGTTAGACTTGATAAAAGCTGTTGTCTCAGATTCATCTGTGCGGTAGAAAAGGCAAAGACGTTGCGGAGGGAACTCTGGCTCCTTCTCCAGCTGATTCTCCAGGCGGAATCACAACTCCAGTGTTTCTTTTTTAGAGCCCAACTAAGCCACTCCTTTGGTCTTAACTGCATACAGCTGTTTAAACAAAATTAGGTTTACTTCTGTATTACTCCATAACTCTTCTGAACATGGCAGAATGGCACCGTAAACTCCACGAAATGGAGCTCAGGAGAAGTTTTCATAACAAAATACAGCTTATTTAGTTTTTTTTTTCTTTCTTTCCTTGTAGAAATGTGGCATGCTGCCTCAGAACAATCTGCGGCTTTATTACTCTGTCGTGACTCGGGGGACGATGGAGGGCAGCAGGACCTGCGTCCGCGGGCTTTAATTTAGCCAGCACCATACGGTGGGGGTAAAGATGCCGCGCTGTTGCTCAACTAAATGCCAAAAAACATCGCTCTCTGATGTCAAATAACAATCTAGAGAATGTTGTATTGTTTAATTATTGTTAGAAGAAGCTTGTTTTATACACTGTGAAAAGTAATATGGAATGTGGATGTGTGGACATTCATAAATACTATCCAAGCTCTATAGTAGGATCATAGGGCTAAAGCTCTCGGCTTTGCACGTGCTGCCTGGTTCATTTTTACAGCGGGAGGTTTAATTGGTTAATTAACTCTGCCATGAAAGCAGATCACAGAAGCAGCATTAGGCTGATGCTAAGTGGGACTAAGTGGCATAACGTGACCCTGAAAATCATGTCACGCTATTTAATTTCAATTTGCGTTACATCCTTGGTCAGATCGAGGTTCTGGCTCCATTTAATCTCATTTATAAATGCTGACAAGCTACATCGCGCTGTAAATCACACCCCACTCCCCACCGCCAAAAAGGATGGGGGGTCAGGTTCGATTCTATCTGCTTGGCGCCACACGTCCCATGCGGCCCTGTTCCATTCCAGTCGACTCCCAGGCAGGAAGCCACACCCTCCAAGGTCAAGGAAATGAACAAGCAGTTGACAAAAGGGATGTTCTATGGCAAAGAAATGGAGGAAAATGTACAGAGAGAGAGAGGGATAGATGGACACACAGGAAGGGAGGCAGAAAGGTTCAGCTGATGTAAGACCCAGTTATGGGGAGACAAAAGGATGAGAGCACTAACTTCCCACTGTAAAGGAGAATGCCGCCTCTGCATGACTGCACCATAATCACTCTAATACACAGGCAAATCATATTATACTCTGATGGGTGGGAGACAAGGGGCCTTAGAGATAGTAGCACAACCATTATAAAAGGGTTTGTAATTAGAGGGAGAGGCTCTCTTACTCAGGTCAGACCAATATTGTGCTAATACTCATGATAATGGCAAATTCATGTTAACAATGTAATAGTGTGAATTACTGGTATGTTGTATTACAAGCCATCAGATGAGGTTCTGGCCATTTGAAATCATATCTTGCCGCAATTCTGCTTCGATGGAGACTTTGGCTCAAGGTTATTTCTGCATTGAGGACAGGAAAGTCATAGACAAAGACCAGACTGCATTTTTTTTTTTCCAGAAACCTAAAGTAGCAGTTAAGTAAGAAAAAGTGTCAGGGAAAAAAATGCAGTGAAAATGTAGGGAAAAAACTGGCTTTTATCAGAAAAAGTCTCAGCTGTCAGACTGTTGCTGGCAAAGAACAAAGGATCCCAAAAATGAATACTGCTCACTGAAGAGTGTTGTGTTTAGCCGTGTCGTATTCAGACATGACGCCA